ATATATATATATATATATATATATATATATATATATATATATTCAAATGATAATGAATTGCACAACAATAGACAATCACAAATCAAAAATACTTTATTGTTGAATTACCATTTATACAATTTAGTCTATTTATTATAAATTTTACGTCATTACTGGAATAAAAATCATTCTGATAATCTTTCAATTTTTTATACATTTCCAACGATTCTTGGTAATATTTCTTAGCTTGCTTTGGGTCTTTAGGTTCTAAAAATTCACCAAAAGATTTATTTATCTTTGCAATGAGGGTCAAAGTATTCAAAACGTTCTCATTTCTTTCGCCAAAGACATCTTTTTGGATTTCTAAAAGTTCCTCATGAGAAATGAGAGCCCTTTGGTAAAAAGTAGACGCCTGATTGGAGTCATATTTTTTCAAAACATAGGCGAGCTTTTTATTAGCGAAAGAAATTTGAGATAGAGTATTTATAGTTAATTGGTTTTCTTTGGATAAATTTTTAGTTTGGATCTTGAGCAAATTTTGAAAAATCACCAAACCTTTGAGGTAGTATTTGGACGCCTCCTGAGGACTATTTGGCTTCAACAAATCGGCAAGTTTAATATTGGCGGACGCAAAACTATTTAAAAACTTCATTGTTGCTTTTGTGTCTTTCTCAAGAAGTATTTTCACATATTTATATAATTTGGTGTAATACTCTATACACTTTTCTATGTGCTCTAATATCTTAGTGCCATTAGATTTACTGTAGTTGAAGGTAATAAAACTCAGTTCACACAAAATGTTTTTAGTGCTTTGAACTTAAAACGATCATCAAAATTTGCTTCTTCAATCTGCAGCGAATATACTTTAAAATTTAAAACCATACTAAGGTTCAGGAGCTGCATTGCTCTCAGCAAATCCTCATCTGTCAACTTCTTGTTCTTCGACCAGAACATACTGATTTTAAAAGACACAAAGGAAAGGTTACGCCAATGCTTCAGTGTCAAGGACTTATTTTGAAAATCCAACTGCTTCCTCAATTTGTGCACTTGCCGGAAATGCACCAAGGATTTTGTCAAGTGTTCAAAATCGTTTTCATACCATCTAATTTTTTCACCTTGTGCACATTTTATATAACCCATTAAAAATGCCAAGTTCAGGATGTCGTAGTATTGCGAAAACTCTTCAGAGACCATCAACAAGTCTTTGTATTTTGTTGATGCTATGATGTCAAGGTACTCTTGGTCAGTGTACTGGCAATCTGTGGTTGTTCCAAGAGCAAATTCCTTGATGGCCTTGTGCAAAACCTTACAAGTTTCATAGGCTTGATCATACTTATCCATGGCATACAAAGCATAAGCCTGCTGGTTCAAAAACAAAAAGTAGTACGACTTCTGATGTACCTCTAAACTTTCACAAATTTCTTGCTGTATAATACTTAAAACCTTTTCATGCAACTCCTGTTTGTTTTCCAGACGTCCACGACTGTTGAGCAATCTGATCACCAAATATTTACGATCCAAGTACACTTTATCAAGTTTGTCAACATTTATTTTGTTCAGCATTCCAAAATCTCTAGGGCTTGTCCAAACTTTTGCTCATAAAATAATGACCATGCTGTTTTATTGATGTGCTCCAAACAAACTGTGAGTGCATCATGTTGTTCTTGTTTTTGCAAAAGTTCAAGAACATTCTGGATGCACTGAGGATTCTTCAAGCCAAACGTTTTGGTTTTATTTGCTAAAATCTCATCGCACAACAACTTGCAAGCATCATTTTCTAAGAGCAACAACGAATCAAGATGATGTGCCAAGTTTTTTGGTACGTACAACGTTCGTACCAACATTTCCAGATCATCCTTTTCGATTATTTTGTTGTTTTTAGACTTCACCAACAAATTTGTGATGAAACCAGCTGTATATCCAATTTTGATCAGTTTTTTTATTACCATGTACACAAAACAATCGCCTTCAACCTCGTTGGTCAAATATTTTAGGAATTTTGGATCTTGAAAGGCTTCTTCAATGTTTTGGTATTGGATTTGGTGCCTGGTGTGCAAATTGTGAAAGACTTTCAACATTGTGCACAACAATTTGGAAGACATGCCAATGTATTTGGGATTTATGCTGTCCAATTTGGAGGTAAAAGACCATTTGTCTCCTTTTTTGATTTGGTACTTTTTGAGTATCATCAGCACTCATACCATCACTAAAATCTACAAATATCTCGATCACGTCCTTGGTTAAAAGCTGGTGGTCACTTTGTAGTTGCTTTAAAGTTTTACAACTATCAACAATCAAATTACTTTTCTCTTGGCCATCTTCATCAAGTCCTTCATCATTTTCGACATACGACTGAATAAACTTTGTCACACCATCGTTGGAGACTCCAAAACTCTTCAATTTATCCTTAAACTTCACCAGTTTAACCACATATTGCTTGTCATCACAAGAACAACTTTTTAAGTTCAAGAAATCTTCAAATGCCTCACTAATTTTTTCAGGATCCATGAATTTGTGTTTAACAGATTTGATTAGATTAACATTCTGGTGTTTGCTGCTATCTTTGGCATCTACATCCAATATGAAGATTAATTTTAGATACTCGCCAACAAGATGTTCAATATTTTGTGGAAATAAACAGTCTGCAAACATTGATGCATGGCTTTCGCAATGGGCATTACAAATTGTCTTGAATCGAGTTTGGAAATTTGCAAAGGCTCTTTGTAAATTGTTTTTTATGTCAACATCTGCACATGTGGACATAGTTTTAAAGACTTCCAGAATGACCAAAGCCAAATTGTATTTGAACAAGTCAGATCTTAAAACCAGCACGTGCCTGATCTCCCTTAATTTTTCCATATTTGTCCATCCAACCAACCATAGATAAAAGTGTTTCTTAACCATCTGACTTGCTTTTGGTCGTCGGTGATAAGTGGTAAGATATTTATCACCAAATCAAAAATAACTTCATTCATTTTGTCATCATCTAAATCTTTTTGATCATAAACAAAACCAACGACTTTTGCAAAAACTTTTAGCACTCCTTGATTATTAGTCTCTTGTTTTGGAGAGACTTTTAAAAACTCATCACAAGTTACAGATTTGTCTACAATTTCACCATCTAATTTGTCATACACGTTTTCAACAAATTGATGCAAATTGTGAAAAATTCACCAACTGTACGAGTTTTGATGAATTTTCTAAAGTTTTTCAACTGTATCAGTTGACCTGGTTGCCAAAGGTGTCTCGTGCGTTGATAATTAGTTGGATGTCCGAGTAAAATTCACTGAAATAGTTTTTTTTGAGTTGGGTCAGCACTTGGTCTAGATTTTTGTTGTCTTCTAGGTCTTGGAATTTTGTTGGGAATGTATCTTCCAAGGCAAATGTTTCTAGGAATAGTATGAATGTATTGGCTGCCTGGTAGGTGATGGTGTCAACAGTTTTATCAATATTGTCTAGAATTTGCAAACAGTATTTGATTTTGTCTTCAGTTTTTTGCTTCTCTTGCAACAAGTTGGCGTAGAACTCTCTTGCAAGTTTGAAGTCAATAGAATTTTCTAATTCTTAAAGCAACTTCAATTTTGTTGGTTACCTGTTCACCATTTTGCAAAACTTCAATTATAGCTTCAACAGCTTTCAGGGCCCAAATACCCAAATCGCACCAATATTGCTGGTTGGCTAATTTGAAATACGTGACTTTTACATTTTTGGTTTCCAGTTGCTTCAAAATTTGTTGATTTACTTTACACCCAAAAGGATCAAAATAATACGCGTTTTGTCCACAAATCACCAGAGTTATCCAATGCAAGTTGTCCAAATCGACTACATAAACTTTGATGTCCAGGTATTTGTTCAAATCATTTACCAGTCTGTTCAGGAGTTGCTGAAGATCAACAGCCTCGTACATCATCATGTCCCTGTTTTTGTAGTACAAAAACTTCAAGATGTCACCAATATCTTGTTTGGTTAAAGCTTGATCAAAATTCTTGCTAAAAGTTGCTTCACAAAACTTTGTGCATCATTGGATATTACACTTTGTTCTAAGATTTCGAAAGCTTTGGTCATCAAATGTTCTTGAACCATCGTAGTAATCTTTTCGTCCAGCAATTGATCTTCTACATCGACAGCAAGTTGTCCTTTGGCGTTTTCGATGTACAGATCAGCATTTTTATTTAGCAGCAACTCGACAACGTCCACTTTGTTGTTTTGGATTGCATAATGCAGAGCAGTATTGCCTTCAGAATCTGTGACATTGATGTCAACTTTTTTGATCAGATCTGATACTTGGGATAAATCGCCTTCGTGAGCTGCTACCAAAAATCTGAGGTTGTTGATGGTTTTTGTGTTGACGAAGGCATGGAGTTGAAGTTTACTTGTTGGTTTAAAAGATTTTGTTGAAAAAGTGATTTGTGATCGTGATCTAACCGGTGGTTCTGGTCGTAATGATACTACGACTGGTTTGGTTTTTTGGGGGTGTATTTCTATCTTGTCGACGTTGGCATCTTTGCTCGGGTTGGTTTTTATTTTAGCCAAGGTCTGCTGTAGTGATTCTTGTAGTAAATTCGTTCTTGGTGTCAATTGGGGCAGCTCGACTGGTTCTAGTCTCTGTAGGTGTGTTTCTTCCTTGTCGACGTTGGCATCTTTGCTCGGGTTGGTTTTTATTTTAGCCAAGGTCTGCTGTAGTGATTCTTGTAGTAAATTCGTTCTTGGTGTCAATTGGGGCAGCTCGACTGGTTCTAGTCTCTGTAGGTGTGTTTCTTCCTTGTCGACGTTGGCATCTTTGCTCGGGTTGGTTTTTATTTTAGCCAAGGTCTGCTGTAGTGATTCTTGTAGTAAATTCGTTCTTGGTGTCAATTCGGGCAGTTCGACTGGTTTTGGTTGTTGTGGGTGTGTTTCTAACTTGTCGATGTTATCATCTTTGTTTGGGTTGGTTTTCATTTTAACCAAGGGCTGGTGTCGTGGTACTTGTATTGTATACGAGCTTGGTGTAAATTGGAACAGGTCGACTGGTTCTAGTCTCCGTATGTATATTTCTTTCTTGTCGACTTTGGCATCTGTTTTTTTGCCTGGTTCTTTCTGTTGTTTTTCTGAATCTGCAAACAATTACTTTTGAAAATTATTTCTGGCCAAAACCAAGGAAGACGTTTTGTATTAATTTAGCTATATTGTAGATGTAGATGTAGATGAATTAGATATACAATTCACAATTTTAAAATTACAGTCGGTCAAGTAAGAGCGTGGTCGACTTTAACGACAGTTAATGAAAGATTTCGGTCTAATTCTTTCGTGAGCCAATAAAGTGAAGCTTTGTCCTTGATGCATTGTCAAAAAAGGTTTAGTTGCAGTTGATCTTTTGAGAAAAAATTACGTTAAACGCCATGAGTGCTAAGTTACGCGTCGCGCTACGAGGCTGCGCCCTTTTGCATGCACCTAAAAGGTACCCAAATGTAGCAATCAGCTGCTGCTAAACATATGAGAAAATTGAAGGCATTTGTACAGAATTCGATACACCTATATAAAGTTGCTAAAAAAGTCGATGATTTATCAGAACGTGATTCAAATAAAAAAGAAGAAAAAAGAACAGTGAATGGGTATTTGCGGAATTCTGCTTTAACACTGCAGCAAGGACGAGCAAAATTAATGGCAAAATGTTTAGAAATATCTAACAAAACTATCTGAACCTTTCTTCGTATTCATGATCTGAAATGGCGCAACACAACGGGGAATTATCTGACGACTGAAAAACATGTGCTTCTTTTCCGCTTGAGCACATGAAAATATTGTTAGAGATTTTGAAAATGTCATTTTCACTGATGAAAGTTCTATATGAGCACGTACTGCTCTCGTCGTGCCATTAAATTAAAATACGAGCCGTCGGACTCCGTTAAAATTAAAATAATCCGTTAAATTAGTAAAAAGCAGGCGTCGGAGATGCCAGCCAATTGTCGACTCCGGTGGTGACTGACACATATTGACTAAAATTGCATCCTTGCTTTTAACGTATACAATGCATATATAAATATTAAAGTTTCATAAAATAATTAATTTTTATAAATTAACCCGACCACGCTCTTACTTGACCGACTGTAAATAACAAAACAACCAATATATAAAATACAAAAAAAGGAATGCTAGAATAATTTAGTGCCTTGATTTTATGAAACTTGATTTTACGTCTTCGTTTAGAACATTTCCAAAAGTTGAGGTCCTGTATATCCATTGATTCGCAGAAATTATTAAAAAGTTTAGACGCTTTTCTGAAAAATAGCAGTATCAGAGACGAAGAAAAATATTTCAAAGCTAAGAAATACTCAGTTACAGCAAGCTATTATCCAAAACAACTTGACAACGTCTTAACTAATTTGAATGATTTAAAAACCATTCGATGCACAAAATGGACGCGTAGAAATCCTTGATTTTTGAAAAAAGACCAAGCAAGTCGTTTTGTATAAATTAACTTCCCGAAGGAGAAGTTTATGTTTTCATCGAAAAATCCAATGCGCTAATTTTGTTTTCTCGACGTTTCAAGCCATTCTGAATTGAATGAGACCAATTTTGGAAAAGTATGTGTGTGTGTGTGTGTGAACAGAATTTTTGCCGTAAATCGACGTTTTCTCAGAAACGGCTGGACCAATTTCAAAAATTTAAAAGCCATTTGATGTATCTCGATGAGGACTATAGTTTATCAATTTTGAGCGACGATTGGCCTAATTGTTTCTTCGTAAATAGCAGAAATGTGAAAAGTTTTCGTGCGCGCAATTCTAGATCGATTTTGAAAATTCAAAAACCGTTCGAAAGATATTGATTAGGATTTGACCTGATTAGTTTCTGGTAAAGATCGGCCGGGTCGTTTTCTTGTAATAAAGTGTTAAAAAAAAATTCGGCGATATTCATGAATTTTTTGATGATAGATATCATGGTCTTCTAGATCATACGTCAAAAGTCAAATTCGACAAAGTTTGCAAAAATTAGTGTCGTTTTTTGGCGTTTGTCAAAATTAGAACTTTCATCGACGTTTGCTCAAAAACGCCCAAACCGATTTCAGAAATTTAAAAGTCATTTGATGTATCTCGATGAAGATTATCGTTTGTCAGTTTTGTGAGACGTTCTGCCGAGCCGTTTCTTTATAATTTGGAATAAAGTGTTAAACTTTTCGTCCACATTTAAGCTCAAACTACCGAATCGATTTTAAAAAATCTAAAATTGTTTGAAAGATATTAGTTGTGAATGATGCTAATTAGTTTTAGATTAAGTTCGACCGATCCGTTTTTTTGTAATTAACTGTTGAAAAAAATTTAAGACGATTTTTACGGAACATTTTTGGCGATATATATCATGGTCTTATATAACTTACTGAATTATCAATGCCTTACGACAAGTAGTTTAATTTTAAAAATTCATCAAAGTTTGAGAAAATGAGTAGTTTTTTTGGCGTTTGTTAAAATTAAAATTAGACAATTTACTTGGTATAACGATAGAGTACTTGATCTTAATGAACATACTAAACCATTAAAGTCTTACGGAAACTGGTTCAATTATAAAAATTGTCGATTTTTGAAAATTTGCTTTTAAAAAATACTTCGAGTTAACATGTTTGTTCGTTTTCAATTATGTGTAATAAATCCACTCGGAATACTTCTAATCACTCATAAATTAATTTATTTCTTATCGATTATTTGCACATACCGGGAAGTTCATGTAACTTGCCTCAAAGCAAAATACCAATACCAACTTGTTTTATATCTAATTACCTTCATTTTCCATTTTGGCATCAGACTGCACTTGTTGCCTTTTCCAGGATAAATTTTTATCATCACCACATACATTTTTTGTATCAGATTTTGCCAATTTTTTTAATTCTATATTTTTTTTGCTCTTTCGAAACATGATTTTTCGGCCATGCTAACTTTTCATCAACTTTTTGGCACAATAACTGTTTTATTGTTTATTTATAGATAATATTGTGAATGATTTAGTAATTGTCAATCGATTTATAGATATGGTTATCGAAATTGATAAGATAGAGGAAACTGGGGTAAATTGAAACAACAATGAAGGCGATAGAGTGAGGGCTGGTAGAAATGTTGTAAAAATTGTTACAATGGAAATTTTATAAAATTAGAAGAAACTGTTGCAATAGAAAATTTGTAAAAATAGAGGAAACTGGTGCGCACTGGAACAACAATAAAGCTTATAGTGGGAGAGCTGGTGGAAATATTGTAAAATTTTCTGAATATGTATAAAGCAAATTTGAGCCTTATGGTTTTTAGCGATATGTATTATATAAAAAATAATTAATTATAAATTCTGTACATCAAAAAATTTACCAAGACAATTTTTACTCAGATAATTCAAACGAGAATCGAACTATACTAAAGTTATTTATTTTCCATAGCTTCAGCAATTTTTATTGATAAATTATTGATAACTTATTAGTCAATTGACTATTAAGTTTTAGCTTTGTAGTATAAACTGTCCGTCCTGAAGAGCTTCTTAAAAGCGACAATATTTTTTATATGAAATTAGTATCAAAAATGCTCCTTTAAATAGAAGTACTTTTATCAGATATTTATTTTTAACTATTTTGCGCGAGAGAAAATTTGTCAATTTTAGTATTTGAGTATATAGTAGATACATTCAGGTATAAATTGTCAAAATTTCTGCTTTGTAGTACAAATAGTATGTCCTGAAGATCTCCTTGAAATTGACTATTGCACACTATTAAATAATATGAACATGCTTCTTAATATTTTCGGTGCTTTTGTCCAATAATTATTTTTTGAAATTAAGAATAGAAAAAATACCAATTTTAGTATATGACTATATAGTAGATACATTTAGGTAAAACATGTCAAAAATTTGAGCTTTATGATACAAACGGTACGTCCTGAAGAGCTCCTCAGAATTGACTTTTACAAAGAAATGAATATAAGAACATGCTTCTTTGTAGATTTTTGGTACTTTTGTCAGAAAATTATTTTTAACTATTTTTGTGTGGAAAAATTTTTAAATTTTAGATTTGTCGCTATAGTAGATACGATTAGGTATAAATTGTCAAAATTCCAGCTTTATAGTACAAACAGTACGTCCTGAAAAGAACTTTAAAAATTATCTTTCACAAAATAATCAATACAAGAACATGCTTTGTTGATTTTGATTTGATACTTTTGTCAGAATTTTTTTTTTTTATTTTTGTGTTGAAAAAATTATCAGTTTTAGTATTTGTCGTTATAGTAGATACAATTAGGTATGAAATATCAAAATTTGAGCTTTGTAGTACAAACAGTACGTCCTGAAAAGCTCTTTGAAAATTGACTTTCACAAAATGATGAAAACCAAAACATGCTTATTTGTAAATTTGGTCAGAAAATTATTTTTAACAATTTTTGCAAGAAAAAAATGATCAGTTTTAGTATATGACTATATAGTAGATACATTAATGATTAAAATATCAGAATTTTACGTTTGTAGTACAAACGGTACGTTCTGAAGAGCTTTTAAAAATTTACTTTTATAAAGTAATGAATATATGAACATGCTTTTCAGTATATTTAGGTACTTTTGTCAGATAATTGTTTTTATTTATTTTTGTATGAAAAAAATTATCAATTTTAGTATTTGATTATATAATAGATACATTAAGGTATAAATTGTCAAAATTGACTTTCACAAAATAATAAATACAAGAACATGCTTTTTTGCAAGTTTGTGTACTTTTGTCAGAATTTTTTTTTTAATTATTTTTGTGTGGAAAAATTTATCAATTTTAGTATTTGATTATATAGTAGATACAATTAGGTATGAAATATCAAAATTTCAGCTGTGTAGTACAAACAGTACGTACTGAAGAGCTCTTCAAAAATTGACTTTCACGAAATAATGAATATATGAACATGCTTCTTTGTAAATTTGGATACTTTAGTCAGAAAATTATTTTTATCTATTTTTGTGTGAAAAAATTTATCAGTTTTAGTATTTGTATTTATAGTAGATACATTCAAGTATAACATACCTAAATTTTAGCTTTGTAGTACAAATGGAACGTCCTGAAGAGCTCCTTGAAATTACATATACATCCTTTTTTGTAAATTCCTTTTTTGTGCAAGTCGTTAATAATCTGCATTTTTCTTCAATTCAAATAATTTTTTCCACATACACTTTGTACTAGCAATATACTGCTGTTTTACTACCAAAATCCCAGTCTCCTCTATAATAATTATGAATCAAGATATCTTTTGTATTGTTATCTGATTTTTTGCTAAAATAATCAAGTGCACATTCTTCTAAGAAATCATTCACACAATCTAGAAATTTATCAGTAATTAAATTAGAGTAATATGAATTGATCAAAGGACGAATAATACATAATTTTTTAGTATATTTGTTATTAATTTTAGTATTTATAGTTTTAGAAAAAAAATCACAAAAATGCATACTTTATGCAAAATGCATGTGGTATTAGATACGTTTGATAAGTTTGATGAGCTCTTCAGGACGTTCTATTTATACAATGAGGCTGAAATTTTGATATATCGTACTTAAATGTATCTACTATAACTCCAAATACTAAAATTAATAAATTTTTGATCGCAAAAATAGTTAAAAATAATTTTCTGCTTAAAATACCCAGCTATACTAAGAAGCATGTTCTTGTATTCATAACTTTGTGAAACTCAATTTTCAAAGAGCTCTTCAGGACGTACCGTTTGTACTACAAAGCTAAAATTTGCACATATTATACTAAAATGTATCTACTATAATGACAAATACTACAATTGATAAATTTTGTCTAGCAAAAATAATTAAAAATAATTTTCTGCTTAAAGTACCTAAAATTACTAAGAAGCATGTTCTTATATTCATTATTTTGAAAAAGTCCATTTTTGCAGGGCTCTCCAGGACGTACTGTTTGTACTACAAAGCTAAAATTCGGACATCTTATACCTAAATGTATCTTCTATAATGACAAATACTAAAATTTATGCAATTTCGATTACAAAAATAGTTAAAAATAATTACTTGACAAAAGGACCTAAAATCCTAAGAGCATGTTTATTCAATCAATACTTCGTGAAAGTCAATTTTTGATGGGCTCTTCAGGACGTACCGTTTGTACTACAAAGCAAAAATTTTGACATGTTATATTTGAATGTATCTACTATAACGACAAATACTAAAATTGATAACTTTTTTCTAACAAAAATATTTAAAAATAATTTTCTGTTTGAAGTACCCAACTTTACTGAGGGGCATGTTCTTATAATCATTACTTTGGGATAGGCAATTTTCAAAGAGCTCTTCAGGACATACTGTTTATACTACAAAGCTGAAATTTGGATATGTTATACTTGAATGTATCTACTATAATGACAAATATTAAAATTGATAAATTTTGTCTCGCAAAAATAATTAAAAATAATTTTCTGCTTAAAGTACCTAAAATTACTAAGAAGCATGTTCTTATATTCATTATTTTGAAAAAGTCCATTTTTGAAGGGCTCTCCAGGACGTACTGTTGGCACTACAAAGCTAAAATTTGTAGATGTTATACTTAAATGTATCTATTTTTTGATCACAAAAATAATTAAAAATAATTACTTGACTAAAGTACCTACAAATACTATCATAAGAAATATGTCAATACTTTATGAAAGTAATTTTTTGAAGGGCTCTTCAGGACGTACTGTTTGTACTACAAAGCTAAAATTTTAACATCTTATACTTAAATGTATCTACTATAATGACAAATACTAAAACTTATGCAATTTGGATCAAAAAAATTATTAAAAATAATTTTCTAACACAAACTATGCATGAATATATTAACACCCCTTTTAGTTCATAACTTTTTTGTTACAAACAAAATGTCGGTTAATAAAATTTGTTCAATTTTCTTTTACTTTATGGAGACAACAACAGACTTTAATTTAATTCGTTAAATGTATTGTATATAATTTTTTTAAATTTATACGATTTAAATTCTTTTATTGAAAATAAGTGTAGCGTAAAGGCATTTTAACAAATGGCGTTTATTAAAATATACATATACATATATAAATTTATATATATATGTATGTACAAAAGTAAAACCCCCTGAAAAAGATTTAAATTATTTCAAGGGTAACACTTTAATATAAATGATTAACTAATAGGGGTATGTTTATATTATATATATATATATATATATATATATATTAAAATAAGGGTTGGTAAGGATTCGTTTAATAAACTCAGCCCACCCTTTTAATATATATAATCCAAAAAATATTAGGGTAGTTTTAAAAATTTGCCCTATATAGCCCGTCATGATACTATGGTTCTCAAAGTGGTGCACATGGCGGTAAAAGTGTTAATTTTGGGAAAATTTTGTTAGAAAGTTTGGTGGTTTTAGTATATGATGGTTTAGTAGATATATTGAGGTATATTGTGTGCTAATTTGAAGGACATAGAAGCTATGTTACGTCCTGTAGAGTTCTTTAAAATTATATAAAGGAATTTATTGTACTATGATTGTTACTGCCATATTTGAAATTTCAAAGTGATGCAATTTTTGAGAAAAAATCGTATTTTGAAAAATTTTGCAAAAAACTTTAGTGGGTTTACTATATGTGGGTTTAGTAGACATGTTAATGAATAATATGTATAAATATATATACATATTATACATGTTAATGTATAATATGTATATGGTTGTAGGATCCGAGATGCGTCCTGGAGAGCTCTTTGAAATGATGCAATTGAATTTATTGTACTGTGACTGAATTATTTTGTTTCTAAGGATTTGGATTTTGAAAATGGTGCACTTGGTGGAAAAAGTCTTAATTTTGGAAAATTTTGCAAAAAAATTTGTTGGATTTAGCACTTGTTAGCAAAGTAGACATATTGAAGTATATTGTGTGCTAATTTCAAGGTTCTGGAAGTT